TTTACACTTTCAAAGCAGCCACAAAAGGCACTGCAAATCCAGCATACCTTACAGCCAGGCCTTACGCTTTAAGAGAATTTGCTCTGAGCAATCTGACTTTGATAATAACTGTAACCAGCTACGCACTGCACTTCTTAAACAGAAATATCCGCCCAAGTTAGTCGATGACGCAGTAAGGCGTGCCGACGCACAAGACCGTACAACACTCTGCATCCCCAAGAAAAATCCTAAAAGTCATTCACAGGTTAACCTGGTTTTAACCCATAACGCATCGGCACCTAACGTAGCATCAATTTTCCGTAAACACCACAACATACTTATGCAGAGCGAACGCCTTGCAAAAGCGTTTCCAGAACCACTACGTGTTGTGTACAGACGAGGCAGAAATTTGCGAGATTTATTAACTTCCTCTAAAACCAGACAGAGCAATAACGACCAGGCGCTTGGTTGCCGTCCTTGTAAAAAACCCCGTTGTAAAGTGTGCGCACACATGACGACAACAACACTGGCAGCCAGCACTGCGACGAACTTCAAGTTCAAAATTAAGGGCAGTTTTACTTGTGATACTGCAAATGTCGTATATTTGCTAGAATGCTCAATCTGTCATGTACAATACATAGGTCATACTGAAACTGCTTTTCGATACCGTTTCAACAATCATAAGGCTCATGTGCATGCCCTTCCTAACTTCCCGATTTCAAGGCATGTCACCGAGGCAGGTCATTCATTCAGTAACATGAAAGCTACAATACTGGAATCGGGTTTTAAATCACACCATGAACGTGAAGTAAAAGAGTCATTTTTAATTCATAAATTCAAAACACTATCTGCCGGCATGAACGAGAGCCCGGGTACGCTTACTTGCATATTGCCTTAGTAAATCGCTTTTTTTGTTTTACTGACAAGTGTATATTCTTCGCACGATGTTGGCCTATTGTCAAATATTACCTACATAATGTAGGTGGCCTTTGTCACTTCATCATTTACTCGCATTCATTTTGCTCTGCCTGCTTTGTGATTTTGTTTATCTCTCTAAACTTCTTTTTCTTTTTTAAAGGCTTACTGAATGTTTTTAGGCTGTGTTTATCCCGCAGAACGTATGACCAAATGAGCCACTGCGTGCGCAGTTTGTTATTTTGCTGACCTGTTTCATTCCACACTAAATGTAGGGTATCTAATACGTGCCAATTCACTATTGTATAATGATACGCGTTTTCAGCTGTATATACACTATAGCCACGTACCTTTGGTGATATATAATCTTGTTTCCTATACTACTGATAATGACTTAGCCGTGTGATACGCAAAGAAGCGGCTTATATATGTGCCCTGTGTGCCATGTGTAACCATTCACTCCGACGAAGGCAGGCCCACCTGCCGAAACGTTAGTAAAACTAGTGTTTTTTCGCACGTTTGTCGACCTCTTTTTATACTATATATATATATATATATATATATAAGTCAGCAGAAGAAGCGAACGAGCAAACGAAAAACGATGCTTTATTGCCAAAGTTACGGCCGGGGACCGGCCTTCGTCAGGGCATACGGGACGTATGCCCTGACGAAGGCCGGTCCCCGGCCGTAACTTTGGCAATAAAGCATCGTTTTTCGTTTGCTCGTTCGCTTCTTCTGCTGACTTATAACTCGACCGGAATCCAGGAAGACTTTCAAGAAATATATATATATATATATATATATATATATATATATATATATATATATATATATATATATATATATATATATATATATATATATATATATATATATATATATCTGACTTAAACATGCGCTCTCACGCTCTCACGTATCTAGCTAGATAGGGTGCCTTTATTTTGTTTATAGTCGTGTAACAATGGCACCAATATTGTTTGCAATACCAGCACCAGCAGTGGTAGGCATGTAAATTATGCCGTACACGACTTCTAGGTTATGATGGTCATGTATGCGCCTGGCATTTGTGTTTGTCGTCAGTTCACGTCATGTAATACTGAATTTGGTATATGTAAAGCTAGAGAAGCGGCGGCGAGTGCGCTAAGAGCGTAGCATGTAGACATGTTTTACATGACACGCTCCTGAGGAAAATTCTATTTGGACATGTCAGTTACCTTCGTCGTCTACTTACGTCACGTGCTAAGAAACTTGGTATATGTGGAGCTATTGAAATGACCGCGAGCGCACTATGAGCGTAGCCTGTAGTGATGTTTTACATGACACGCATATCATGACTATCATGCTTGTAAATTTCATTTACCTTCGTCGTCTATTCACGTCACAGAATACCAAATTTGGTATATGTTAAGAGAGTGAAACAGCCGCGAGCGCATCATGAGCTTAATATGAAGTCATGCATGCTCTTGCATTACACGCAAGTCATGATTATTATGTTGCACCAGTCATATACCATCATCACCCATTCACGTCTCGTAATACCAAATTTGTTAAATGTGAAGCTAGTGGAAAGACCACGAGCGCACCATGAACGTGGCTTTTAGTCTATCGTATATGACATGCAGATCATGATTTCCACGTCAGGGTCATCTGTCATTTGTTTTCATCATGCAGTCATGTCATACCTTACAACTTTTGCAATATGTCGTGTAAAATAAACCAACGGAAGAGCAGCAAGGCCATGACGTGTAAGTAACGTCGTTAATGACATAAATATAATAATTTAAAGTTATATGACTAGTCATTTATGCTCGACATACAGTCTTGTGATGCCATACAAGTTTTGGTATAGATCCCACTATTGAAACAGCTAGTAGAGCGAACATTCGAACAGGGGCTATATATATATATATATATATATATATATATATATATATATATATATATATATATATATATAGATAGATAGATAGATAGATAGATAGATATAGTCGCTGATGTACGCTAAAAAACGCTTCGCACTTAAGAGAGAAATTTTCACCACATGTATTCAGGCCGCCCTTCTGAGTCATGTGGGCACAAGGGTCCGGTCAGTCTAACAAACCAAAGGGAAAGAACAAGGGATGCTGGATGTCCCAGCAGCATCACCATGTCCATTTGCAAAACTTTTCTGTGAAAAGTAAAGTTCAACGAAAGAGGACTAAAAGAAAAACGGAATTGCCAAAGATATTTGCATGCGGTATCAGACGTATACTGTCAATGTTTTATGAAACGGAACACGGGAGCGCGTGGCCTGCGTGCTCTGGCGGCTGCTGGCAGCGCGTTCAAGCGGGAGTGGAAACAACCACTGTCTCTTCTCGCGTCATCTCGCTGTGAGCAAAACGACCATTCAGTGCTGATATGGAACCAGTGGCAAGATTGAAATCTTCTCCCTCTTCACGGTGATAACTGGCGCGTGCGTAATCGTCTTGAGGGGGGAAAGGGTTTGAATCTTGCCAGCGGTTGTCAGCAATGACTGCTTGTTTGGTGGCAGAACAATCCGCTCATGTGAAATATTGTGACAAACCCAGTATTTTACGCTAAGAGGTATCTTATCTTGATGATAAAGTGTGTCTAAATATGGATTTACCAAATGTTATTACATGCTGCAAAAAGTGGCAAGTGCAAATTAATATTTGATGCGACTCTTTTTATACAAATAATCAACAATAGAGAGCTTTAATTTATGCATATGTTGTGAATAATATATCACTATTAGAGGTAACACAACAAATATTAAGATGAGCGGTTGACTAATTATATTTTTTGCAATAAGCGCATGCGTACTGTTGTGTCTAGTTTTTTGCGCAAACTGTTTTTCTTGAGGCGCTCATTGAAATCTTGTACGCTTACTGTTTGTTTAATAACATACAACTCCTACTCTCGACCATTGTGGGAATATAAATGGTTATTCAGGGCACATTCACTGTATCTAATACTAGAAAAAGAAGAACGCATACAGCATAGAGTAGTCCGGTTCCATTTCAATTCCCACCGCCGCACAATTGTGACTGAGCTACTTAGACGAAGGCCACTAACTCCACGGATGGTGTGCAACCATGTTTGTCGTTTCAGTTATCTGTTTGAGCCCGTAAATGGTAAGTAAACTGTTAACACTTGCAATATTTTACTCATTCATCAGGTTATCATAAGAGATGCTTTAACTATAGCTTCTATTAACTCAAAAAATAACAGTTTTAAATATTCTTTCCTAGGACAATAACAGATACGAATAATTTAATGCTGAAACTGTTATGCTAAACAACTGAGCAATGTTAGAAAAATATATGAATACGGGATGAATTTGTGTTTTTTGATTTCAAGTGTTCGTTAGCAGTGTTATTTGAAATAAATCCAAACGTTTAAACAATTATTCCAATTGTTATGAACTTGTAGGTGCTAAAATCCTTGTAAATTTTTATGCATAGCCACACTGGCAAGATCTGTTAGCAGATCACTGTAGCTATAAATAAAGAAATATATAAAAACAAATAAGCTGTTCTCAGCTTCTAGTCCTGACTACCGTCGCCTATTTTCACACGAAAAGACAAACGAGTGATAGTTTGGTTTCTAATGTATTTATTTGTTTATTGACTAACAGCCATAATTTACTTTTGCTTTTCACGCATCGGTATACACCAAATTGTATGATACTATTTTCATCAACCCTACACCAAATATCGCTAATAGAAAAGTGATGATGGCCCCGCCGCGGTGGTCTAGTGGCTAAGGTACTCGGCTGCTGACCCGCAGGGCGCGGGTTCGAATCCCGGCTGCGGCGGCTGCATTTCCGATGGAGGCGGAAATGTTGTAGGCCCGTGTGCTCAGATTTGGGTGCACGTTAAAGAACCCCAGGTGGTCTAAATTTCCGGAGCCCTCCACTACGGCGTCTCTCATAATCATATAGTGGTTTTGGGACGTTAAACCCCACATATCAATCAATCAATCAAAAGTGATGATGCGGAACAGCATAGACCTTCGAACACAGACATTGTTTTACTCGAGTGCTAATCGTGCTACTATTGCAGAAAATACACAATTTCATATAATAAAGAAAACAAGGCACTCACCCACTGTGCTTCCGGCTCGCTTGGGATTTGTAGACAGAGAATGCAAGAAATACCGCGGTGTAAAAAGCAGAGCACAACAGCCTCCTGGACCTGGAATATCTTTGAGGCTCCTGAATAACTCATACTGGTGCCAGCACCACAGCATTAACTTTGCGGCGCCGTAAGCAAGCAGGAGGGCCGCGAGGGCTCTACAGGAAAGCCAGAGCCACAGCGAATAGGTTCGAACCGACGCCACTGTATTCATCATAGCTTCGAGAGTACGGCTGCCCAGACTTTGTCCTGGGCTCGCGAGTCGGATGCGGCACAGTGGGACCAGACTGCCTTCATCACCACCGTAGCGCCATGCCAAGAAGTCGAATAGGGAAATGAGCATGCGACTAGGAGGGAAAACCTGTAGGCTGCCTGTTGGCTCGCGCATAGCAGGACGATGCTGGGCCGAGTGGTGACGAATGGTACTTTCTTTATGTCTCGCTTCGTTTGTCTTTCCCGGCACTTTTTTTTCGGCAGCCATAAATTGCCCGGCAGTCTGCAAGAATATCTGATAATGGAGTGAAACGGCGTGACGGTCAACACGGGCCGCTCCTTCGAGGCGTCGATACGTGTTGACGGCACGCCGGCCGAGCGTACACGCTCGCTGATCTCGCACCGTTTGCTTTTCTTCGAGTGATCCACCAAGCTTTCGCTCTTTCAGAGTGGTATCTTCGCCTAAAGCTAGGCTGTCCTTTCGGTCTCAGGAACCGTTTGTACTAAAAAAGAATGAAAAAAATATAAACTTAAAATTACCATTACACATTGCAGGTGACAGTGTCTGCGACGCGATGCATACTTGTTTCGTGCCTCCCAAAAAGATGAAGGTACGTGGGCGACCATATTCACACCGAAAGCACCGAGTCCAGTCTCTCTCTCTGTGTACCGAAGCTCCCAAAGCGCACAGAGTGCAAACATGCCTGGCTGGCTGGCGGTGTTTGTTCTTTCGCGAGAAAGAGGAATGTTTGCTTGCTGCCGGTGAATATTTTCCGTCGACCAGACAGTTTCCGTACCATGAAATCTTCCGTTCCTGTAGACGATCCTATTCGTAACACACAGACAATCATTCTCATTCTAGTTTTTCTTTTTTTGCGGACCGTGGCCAGCGCCTAAATTTTCCTGTGCTTTCAAGAACTTCTTTGGAGCTAATCGTGCCCCTGAGAAAAACAATTGCTTAGCTACCTGAGGCAATTGAATGCTTTTTTAAAGATTACCCACCATTTCATCTCGTAATGGCCTCAGATGGCAGAAAACGAAGTATTTCTGCGCTTATTCACAAATACAGGTTGATTTTAAAGAGAACGGGAAAATAAATAAAAAAGGTTTGTTCGAAATAGCGCAGTGCGATCGGGCATAACGCAAGCACATTGTATTAAAAAAAACTAACAGAACACGCAAATTGTTTTTTTAGTAGTATGATGCTCCTCCATTTAAGATAATTACACTTTGGGAAGTACGCATCTTGGTACAGTGCTAGATTATAAATACCTCGGCGTCTATTTTTCATCTAACCTAACCTGGAAACGTCAGATTGAACACGTGTCCTTTTCTGCTTCCCGCATGCTCAACTTTCTAAAACGCAACTTCAGTGATGCTCCTCCAAAAGTTAAAGAACTTTTATATTTCACCAACGTAAGATCCATTACGGAGTACGCCTGCGCCGTGTGGGACCCACAATTTGAAAATTTATGTACACTGCTAGAACGCGTCCAGAACCGCGCCGCCCGATTTGTAACTAAAAATTATAGTTTTCGCACTAGCATTACATTACTTAAATCAGAGTTGGGATGGGAAACACTAAGTAAATGTCGGTTGCATCACAAACTTGAACTACTATATCGTATTTATTTCTATAAGACTGGTCTTGATCCTAAAATGTTCTTACTAACCCCGCACTTTGTATCTAAGCGACGCGACCATGAATAGAAAATTCGTGAAATTGATTGCCGTACTGATGTGTACAAGGGTTCTTTCTTTCCCCATTCAATTGAGGCCTGGAATAAACTACCAGGTATTATTGTTAATTGTACATCTGATGCTATGTTTCACACGTTTTTGTCGCACATGTAAATTTTTCATTGTGGCACTGCTTGTACATTTGACGCGCTATTGTGCAGATTTGTACCACTTATTCTCATGTCAGTTCTCTTTTTTCCTTTTCTTTTTTTTCCCATATGATGAATCGTATTCATGTATTTGCATATACCCCCCTGCTGTAATGCCTTGTTGGTGCTGCAGGTAAAATGAATAAATAAATAAATAAATAAATAAATAAGCTATGAACTTCAACATGGTGCGCATAGCACAAAAGGTCCCAACGAGTGGCCCCAACACACAATAATGCGCTTTACAAAGTATACCAGTCATTGATGCCGAAACATTGTTTACTTTTGTCTTCTTGTATGTTGATGTCAGTTTACAGCGTTGTGGCTTTTGCTATGCAAATCGTGTTTAAGACTCTTGTCGAACCCGTTTGGACTCTTAATCAGTGGATTATACGCTAGCAAACTTGTTTTTGTCTTTGAGTAGGCGAATTCTAGTATCACAGCCTTCACAGCCTTATGCACATCTGACCTAGTATACTGAGTCATTATATACCAGGGGTGAACGAACATTCAGTGCTTAAAATATTCGGCTTGAATGGTTCGGTATTCGATTCGATTCGCAACTCTGTATTTGAACACACACTGCATAGCAAGTTTTGCAAGCAGTACATAGTACTAAACTTCAGAAAATTCGGTGAATTTGATGCACAAAGAAACAAATTCACAGCGTAGCGTGTATAATTTATGAAATAAATAGTTATTTCTTTTTTATAATGTAAATTTACACTTTCTTACATTGATAGGGGCCATAAAAAACCTGCATGCTATAGGCAACTTGAGAAGCTCTTGGCTCCCTTTTTTTATAGCGGCAGTAGGTGGCGGAGGAGGCATAAGTAACGGGGTTGAGTTTAACAGTGAAGATTTCGTCAAAATATGGGAAAATAAACAATACAAGTAAATTGTAGGATATAATACACAGCACATAAAAATAGGTTTGGGTGTGGGAACCGCCTCTTTCGGACAACGTAATCTGAATACATCTTCAAGCACACACCTTGCAAAGGCAGTGATGACGCCTAGCAAAAGAAAAAGGAAAAAAGCTTGCCACATAACAGAAAGAAACAAGACTGCCCATTGTCTCTAGCGATAATGAAGCAGGGCCTTCCCATTCAAAGACAACTGAGCAGGAAGGTATACCTTATTAAGAATGAATAAGTAGTCGGGATGTAGATATGGATGCTCGCCTTCTGAGACGCACCAGATGACCTATAATAGCAAATTCTATAATTCTTCTAATACACACACAAAAATGTTAGAAAGAACCTGGAACTCAATCTGACTTTCGGAAAGATAGTATTTTAAATCAAGCACTTGCTGCTGCCTGCCTGCCATCACAGAGTGCCTCAGGGTACTTCAGTGGAACTGCTGTTCAATTCTATCTGCACCTAAAGACTTATATACCTAATTTCTCAAAAGTCTTCTGACCTTATAATGCCACAAGGAACTTGGCTGTGAGCTGATCAAAACTTCTATTTAAAAACTATCGTTGCTTTCGACTGGACAGAGACTCACGTGGTGGAAGATTATTTTTTTCATCTCATCCCAAATTTGTCTTGAAGCACAATTAGGTTAATATTATTATAACACGATCATGAAGTATTGGTTCTGAAAATTCTTTTTCTTGGCTGCGCGCCACTATCAGCAGTTCATAAGTACTTTGCAGCTGGGACACAAGAGGCAAGAGCTTTTGACGTGACTGTGAGTTTTAGCAGAAACAGTATACTATTTGCGAGAGATTTCAATTCACATCACGTATCCTGGAGGTTCCGAACTGATTTACCGGGAAAACGGTTGTGGGACTGCACTAATCGGAATAACCTTATTTGTTTAAATTGCAGAATTCCCCCATTTGTTGGATGTGATTCGAGGTGTGTCTTAGATTTGGCATTTGCTAGCTCAAATATGACTATATCGTCTTGGACTGTTCTTAATACCGCTGCAAGTAGTGATCACCTTCCCCTGGTATTTGAATTCAGCATTCCTTTAGTGACGGTAGACCACCAGGTGCAAATTTTTCTAGACTACTTTACATTTAAAAAGAATTTACTGTCAACGTTGTCTCCTTTGCTCAGTGAGGAACGAATGTTAAAGTTATGAGCCTTTGTTCCACTTTAAAGCGTAGCATTAAAAATCACAGTCCACTATATTTTCAACGAAAAAAAAATTCATACTATCTGGTTGAATTTGGATTGTACTAGAGATTATAGACGCTGGAAAGCTGGATGGAAAAAACTTCTTACCGACCAATGTCCTACTAATTGGAAAAATTATTTGTATGCTAAAGTTACGTTGAAGAGAACAGTGTCATTAGCGAAAGGCGATTATGAAGGAAAATGTTATAGCTATCTATCCAAGGGCGGCTACAAGAAAAGTCTATTCATATTTCTCATTAATTGTAAAGATGATTCAGCACCGGTAATTGTTGACTCAGTTATCCTTTCTCCAAAGTATTTGGAAAATATAATAAATGAAATTTCATTATAATCACAGAAGAGATTTACATCACATATACAAATAAGGTGGTAATACCTTCATACGGGATTGAGTTTGTTGAAGTAAGTAGAAATGAACTTGCACACGTCATTCGTTTTCTGCCAAACACAAGTCCTCCAACAAATGCTGCTACTTCAGGAATATTAAAACATTACTCAAAATCTCTCCTGAATACCTTAACTTTTTGAACCACTCACTTTGAAGCAGTTGGATACCTCCTGACTGGAGGAGGTATACCTTAACTTTTTGAACCACTCACTTTGAAGCAGTTGGATACCTCCTGACTGGAGACTTGCAAAAATAATACCGCTTCTTAGAAAACAGGGACTAGGAATGCAGATGTACAGCAATAGGTCAATCACTTTAACATCAGAAGCAGTTAATAGAAAGAATACTTTAGATGAAAATTATCAAGTTGATAACAGATAAGACAATACTGAACACGTGCCAGGTTGTATTTAGACCAGGTTCTCAATATGGTGGGCGCACGTCAATTTAGAGGCTCGTATAGAGCTTGCTCGCCAAAGACGATAATATGCGGCCATAGTAACTCCAATTTAACCAAGACATATAAAGTGTTGAACATGATATGCTAATCAATGCACCTAAGGAATTAAAACTCCCGCAGTTTATAATAAATTGTCTGTATCAATTTTTAAAAGATAAAATGTTCTACTGATCCTAACGAGGTGTTTCAACGTCTCAGTATAACCAAACGAGAGGTGCTCCTCAGGGCTCTGTTCTTCCGCCATTATATTTAACATTTTGTCAAGCTCAATACCACTTTGTTATAACGTGTAACTATATGTATATGCAGATGACATTGCGTTTTTTAAAGCTGACTGTGATATTCACTTACTGCATTTACCTTTACAGTTTTA